ATTATTCCAAGGACACCAGTTGTGAATACTCTGTTTTCTCGTACATGGTGGAAACATAAAACGGACCCAGCTTACAATAACTAAAAACAGAAATGATTGGAAAAGTTGTTTTTTTTTTTGTTTAAAAAACCAAGCCCTTTAAAAATGGGAGATTGAAATTATTAAGTGCTGAGTCTCAGCAGCTGCAAAATATACTTACTTATAATTCACTGAAATGCACATTTCCTATCCTTTCTTCTCCTGAAGGAATTACTGCCATCATTTGGTCACAAATCACCAGTGAAATCAGGTCAGTGCAACTTAAGGCAAAAGCCTAGGCTTCTTTATGAGGAAAAGGGTCCCCAGTGAATTCAGTAGAAACTTGCTTCAGGATAGGCATGATATGATCAGGCTGTTGGGGAATGTTTAGAAGCCTTGCCGGCACTAGCAAAAATCCTTAGGTCCTGTATTTCCAGCCTACATGATCTTTGATTATCACTACTCCCTGGCCCCACCTGAACGGAGATGGGTGTAAAGACAGGAAAAAAGAAGCACAAAACAGCAGGATTGTTGATGATAGGAGTTTTTGGAGGCTGCTAATTTTTAGGGTTCCAATAAGTGAGAAGGAATTTGACAGCACATAACAACAACAGCAGATCAGGGCCAGGGAGTGAATTTGTGAATGTCTATCTAAACCACTGGTTCTTAACCTTGGGTTACTCAGGAGTTTTGGACTGCAACTCCCAGAAGCCTTCACCACCAGCTATGCTGACTGGGGTTTCTGGGAGTTGCAGTTCAAAAGCATCTGAGTAAGAAAGGTTAAGAACCACTGATCTAAACGAACGGTTTATGGGCAACCATGTTAGATGTGCACATGACAGCTGTGGGCCTGACACTGCCTACTTTGCTTTGCGGCTCCACCATCTGTTAGCAGAGCCAATGGCTGGCATCCACTTGCACGCAGGTAATCTGGCTTTTAGGGAGGAGACAGGCCCCTTGCCTCTGCTTTGGATGTAGCCTAGGAAAGCAGTGTTATGCTTGGATAGTATTTTAAAAATGAAGAGAAAAGTATTTTTTAAGAAGAACGAGCAAGCTTACAACTCAGAAAGCATATTTTTCCCCCCAGGCATTTCAACCCCCTTCCTTAGGTTTAGGCACTTCTTTCCACACCTTGACACAGAAAGATTTGGGGCATATTCTAGGGCAGGGGCAGAAATCCTTTGGTTCTTGAGATATCCTCCCACCTTCATACAGCACAGCCAACAACAGGATCCTGTGGGAATTGTACTCCAATATAACTGGTAGACCACAGGTTTTCCACCTCTGTGGTACTGTGAGCGGGATGGCCCTGCCAGCCCTAGCAGATTGTCCACGAAATCTGGGGAAGTTCAGATGCCCTGGAGGGCAACACAACCCAATGCCAAGCTGCAGCACACAGGAAGGCAGAGGGAGATGACAGAGCGTCAGCCTCTGGAAGAGGAGAAACTCAACATCATGGAGTAGGAGGACTGGTAGGAAGTGCTAGAGCAGCTGCCCATCTTCTTCACCTTGGGTGATGTGGAGCAGCCCTTAGTCCTCTGGGACTTGGAAGCAAGACCACCTTCATCCAAGGCCAGCACCTTCTGAACCATGCAACCTGGCCCATGACACCCAGTCCGGCCAGGTGACAGAGGTAGCACCTTCCAACTTCTCCAACAGGATACCTGACTCCAACCCAGAAATAGCACTGGAGGCAGCACCACCAGCACCAGAGTCTGTCGCAACTGGCCAGGCAGCTGTGGCAGGGGGGCACTCGCTGCCATATGAGCATACTGACCCTCACTAAGAAAAGCCTGTCTGCTGGGGATAGCAACGAAAATGCAGTTGTGGACTGCGAGTGGCAAAGACCCAGTGGTGTTAACCAGGATCTGTGCAGATAAAATACGCGTTGTTCAGGACGGGAGTGCCAGCCCACCTGACTGTACAATAAAGAGTGCTGAACTTGACATGCAGCCTACGCAGCCTATGGAGCCCATGGTGGAGGACATATTCCAGTTGCTAGGAGGTGGGGCTGCAGAGATCACAGCTACAGCATACACCGTGCCCCAAGGGAATCTGACTAGTTATTGGGTCTCAACACTGCCCCATGTAAACTGAGAAATATGTGTTATTGTTAGTATTCTCCTGTGGCTTCACACTGCATGGTAAAACAGGTAGACTGTTCGGTATGCTATCTTTCCAGAAAGCTTGCCTGTCTTACTTGGTCTTATCACTGAGGATCTCATATGCTTTTCCAAGTAACACACAAGTCTGCTTGGAACATGGTTTGAAAACTACCAAGCTACTCAACAAATCTCACTGTCCAGGAATATTTCAAAGCAAATGTTCAAATGATCTACTTTTCATTCCCGTTCAGTATTCAGCACCATCTGCCATGAAGCAAGCCAGTACTGTATGGCACATTTCACTTTTGTATTACAATGACACTCCCCACTCCTCTATATTATATCTAACACATCTGGACATTAACCATGCTATAAGATTATTACCACACAGCGAGGACAACACCACTGATTGTCTCTATTGTTCTGAAAATGTATAAGCAAGATTTATACTTGATAGCAATTTCATTGAGTACAAGGCTAGATCTATTCACACCAGTACAAGAGGGTCTCCGTTGTATGTTTACATCTGAGAAACCGTACATTAAATGATAAATACCCAGTGATGCATGTATGCCACACTTACGGAAGTTATAGTGGCATGATTAGAGAAATAATTCACTAACAGTTTGTGCAGAATGAACAACATATTTCAGTGGACTAAATATTAGCACTTGGGTTCACATTTTAACAGCCATACACTGAGTCAAAAAAGTCAAAATAGTATGCAAAATTGTAGGTTCTCCAGGCATCTCCCTCAAGCAATGGCTCGTCTTTGTCCCAGGTTGCCGGGAATGGTGTGATCCCTATTACATCTCTTGCCAGCTCTTTGTTCCATTTGCAGTCCTGAGACAGACTCCAACAGTAGATCTCACGGCTACAACACTGGGCCTAGTTTTCAGACCTTCCTGTGTTTTCCCCACGTTCCTCCATTTTTAAATACCGCCTTGCCTCACTTGGAAGTATTCTGTCAAAAGCATGCCTGTTCTTGCAGTATTCGCTTGGGCTGCACAAAGTGCCATCCCATGGTGCCAAGAATGGCATGTGAAGTTTGATGGTTGACAGATATGAGGAAACAAGGCCAGAATATAAAACCAGTATACTCTCATTTGTGGGGAAAAACATGACAGGCAAGGCCACTGAAACTCAATAATGCAATAATGTTTAATCCCAACACTCTATTTTTGCCAGATTTGGCCAACGCCACCAGTTTGGCAGCACAAATACATTTTTGGCAGCAATTAGGAAGCTTATGGAGGGCCCTCAACCATTCCTGTAGGAATTCAAGCATCAAGAGATGCTGAGAACTAATTCCAGTGTTGAACGTGGCAAAAATTTCCAGCACATGCAAAGTGCGTCAAGCATCAAGACTGAGAACTAATTCCAGTGTTGAACATGGCAAAAATTTCCAGCACATGCAAAGTGCACAGTGTGCTAGTTTCACATTGAAAGGGATGTTTTAACATGGTCCAAATGTGCAGTTGCTCAGGTGCAGCATATGCAAAAATGTAGCATAGTCTTGAGATGACTGTACTATGTGCTCTGCTCAACTTCTAAATAGATTCCACAACACTTCTTATGATTTAAAAGTTAGGTAATAAATGACTGATGAAAAACAGCCTCCAAAGCAATTTGAGAATGTTTTTCACTGCTACATATCACTCAAATTCTCCCACTCTTATCACCTATTGTCATTCTCCCCACTTCCAAAAGATTCACAATGTAAGTGAGATAAGGCAGCTCATAAATCCAGTATCAAGAAGGTACCACAAGGTCACACTAGTAGCCTCTCAGGAACTAATCTGATGGAGGAATAGCATCTAACAAGTAGACACAGTTATAATTTAAAAAAAAAATGAACTAGCACTGCGCTCTCTTATACTGGAATATTTAAGATAGGCAGGCAATACATGATAGAATTATGTGATTCTGTTGTGTCCATGACATCTTTCAAAGAAAAGTAAGACTAAATCCAACATTAGTTTACTTTTCTTTGAAATGGCTGCTGGACAGGCTCAGTGAGTTAGGAATCTGGCCATGGAGCCAGATGTTGGGAGTTTGATTCCCCACTGTGTCTCTTGGGAGGACAGCCAATCTATGTAGCCTTGTCAACTTGCAGAGACTTGACTACCCCTGGAAGGAGGGAAGGGTAAATAACTTCTGAGTACTCTGTCTAGAGAAAACCCTGGAAAAGGTTGCCAGAAGTCTTAATCAACTTGATGTCACAAAAATATTTTACCATAGACACACTAGCGAAAATCCTCTTTCATAGACATGCAAATAGTGTAATCTTTTAGAGGCAAATTACTCATAATTGAGAGATCACTGTAGACATTATCAGTTGCATGCTGAGTCATACAACTCAGTATGCAACTGATAATGTCTATAGTGACTGTATTCTCGAAGGCTTTCATGGCCAGGATCCGATGGTTGTTGTAGGCTTTTTGGGCTGTTTGGCCGTGTTCTGGAGGTTTTTCTTCCTTGAAAGAAGCAAGAAAAACCTCCAGAACACAGCCAAAGAGCCCAAAAAACCTACGACAACAACTTATGGTGATTACTCAATTATGGGCAATTTGCCTCTTAAAGGTTACACTATTTGAGCTATGCTAGCTTAACTAAGAGGATTTGGGCCACTGAAATGCATGACATTTATTAGTCATAATTAACTTAAATCCCATTGATTTAATGGGTCTACTCGAAGGACAACTAACATTTGATTTAGCTTCTTCCAAATTAATGCAAACTTGTTTTGAATCTTTGCATCTGAAAAAAATGAAGCTAACGATGTGGACAATGTGATTAATGGCACTGATAATGATTTGAAACAATAATTAGGAAAGTTCTCTTGTGATAAATAATCAAAACTGCAGAAAAATGAAAGAACATATCAGAACTGGATTGTCTTTATGAGAGTTTTCATGATCAAATAAGGTCGACCCAATCATCATTGCTAGATGTACTGTCTTTTACAAACTCACAATCCTTTGTTAAAATACACGTGGTCTAATTCAGGGTTGATCTCTTGAATCTTGGCTTGTAATTCTGGCTCCAGATGTGTTACAGACATGGAACTGAACAGAAAAATAATAGTAAAAATATCACACATAGTCCATTATCAAGTTGCATATGCTTAAACGTTATGACGTTATGGTTTGTTAAAAAAAAAGTCTGAATCCATTTGACTGAATATCAAATATGATTTATACTATGGGGGCATCATTATACATTTTGCAATTCTTTAAAATGAATTTTAGTATTTTCTTGCATTCTAAACCACTGGTTCTTAACCTTGGGTTACTCAGGAGTTTTGGACTGCAACTCCCAGAAGCCTTCACCACCAGCTGTCCTGACTGGGGTTTCTGGGAGTTGCAGTTCAAAAGCATCCGAGTAACAAAGGTTAAGAACCACTGTTCTAAACAGTCTCTGTTCAATATGAGCAACAGAAGAGATTTTTCAAAGCTTGTTTTGCTTGGCTGGCTAATTTTAACTGGTGCAATGTTAATGTGTCAGCCAGGAAAATGAACTTCATACAACCCTTTAAGCTTTCATTTATCAATTAAAACTGACCTAAATGACTAAATGTCATCAACAGGTCTTAAAAATATATAGTTAACTTTTAAATTGTATGACCCCTAATTAAAAAAAAGTTTAGCGAACATAAAACTGAAGACATGCTGTTAAAATCAGAAATGGTGCCACACAATGACATGTCAGCAGTTCAAACATACCCCACCTGGATGTGATAATGTTGATCAACCACAACATAGCCCGGGTCTTTTTTTTGTTGTTACAGTTCACAGGCTTTTCCTAAGCCAATAGGGCAAATTACATTTAAATTATTTGGTTTTAAGTTAAACAATGTTGAAGCTCTGCCTGAGGAGAAGCAGGGGGAGGGGGCTCCAGGCTCCCTTGAAGAACCTTGATCTTTCTAGGAAATGAAGCTGTATTTTTTTAAAGGCAGCAGATAGGAGTCACACTTTGTTTTTATAGCTCTTTCGAACTTCACAGAGAAGCAAATTGCCCTTTATTTCAAGCCATTAAAACTTATACTCATTCTGTTTTGGTAAGCTGTCAACCATAGATATGGAAAAAGATCTACAGACCTTTAAGATAGGCCTCTTGGATAGAATGTATATATTGGTAAGATCTTGAGGTAACAGTAATATGTAATGATAAATTCTTTCTTATCAGAGTGTTCAAAATTGCTTTTTCCACATTGTGTAGTCAACTTTATGTTAAGACTAGAAAAGACCTCTGGTTGAGACTATGATGGGGCACTGCCAGTCAGAATTAACAAGACTAGGCTAGAACGGACCAAAAGCCTGACTCAGTAGAAGGAAGCTGCCTGTGTTTCTAACTATATAGAGTAGAGATGGGGGCATTCATATATGAATATCCCCACACAGGTGGTGTTAACGAGGGCTCAGCCCCATGGGGCCAGATGGTCCACTCACTGACCCGCCAACGGCGCGATTCTATGAATGGCTCTGCAGTGCATGATCTGCAGTGCACGATCTTCGACCTTGTAGTGAGGCCTGTCCTGCTGCCTCCTGCCAGGAGTGGTGAGTGGATTGTTTTAGTTCCCATTATTCTATAAATCTGATTCTAACATGGAATGAAAGTGCAAGTAGTGGACAAACATGGTGAGCTGTGACTCTATTTTTAATTTTTCCTTTGTTTCCTGTGCACTGCCCCGTTCTTTTGCAACCTAGACTCCTTAGCAGCATTAGAACTACCTCACTACTGCATAGTGGTCTGTGTATGTAATTTGTATGCCTACAAGACTGTTTAGTATACATTAAAATAGCTGCTCAGTTCTATAACCGAGACTGCTTGTGTTACTCCTTTTGAACCAGATGGAGCTGAAACATCTGGAATGTCTTTCAGTCCCTTGGTTCATAGAACTTTTGAAAGACAAGAAGTTGCAATGGCTTCTTACTACTGAGAATTTCAATTGCACATGATTAACTTTCCAGAAACCAAAATTCAGGTCCTTGTAAAGGCCAGACAACAGCTGTATAGAACACCCATACGGTAGCAGCTATGGTGCCTGCCTCCCCGTTCTTGTTTCAGTTGCATGTCTGTTTAAAATCCTGCTATGGAATGGTTTGGGAAGATCAGGTTGTCTGAAGAACAGTCTACGCCAGGGGTGGAGAACCTAGTACAGGATGGGGATTCTGGGAGTTGCAGTCCAAAACATCTGGAATAGCAAAAGTTCACCACCCTGGTCTATACCTACTGTATATGTGAACCTGCCTAGGTTTAAGATTAGTGTCAGTACACAACCATCATGAAGATCAATTAGATTGGTAGGCATATTTTTGGAGGGAATTTTCTTCTGAGGGAGGTATCTGGCCCTTACTTTTCTGGACCTGAGGTGCTTCTTGTTTCAAGTTACTTTTGTGCATGTAGCATTCAGTGTTGTTTTATTATAAAAAAACATATATTGCAGCTTTTTAGACAAGTATACTGATAACCTTGGCAGTATTTTTTTACATATTATTTTGATGTGAATCAAATGCTGGTGGGGAGGATTGCCTCAAAGAGCAGCATAAAAGTCCTAAAATAAATAAAAATGAAAAGGTTTTGGCTGGACCCTCGTTAACGCCACCTGTGCAGGGATATTTGCATTCGTATATGAATACCCCCATCTCTAATATAGAGCTAAAGAAAAACAATACATAACTCTTTCTCAACTGTAACAGCCCTCACCAGGTCAGGGAAAGCTAGTATAGACATTGCAGGTTATCTTGAAATCACAATTGTGGAGAGAACTTCCTCCAAATAGTGCAGAGACTCATTTACCTGGGAAGCAAAATTGAATTTAAACATAAATGTAGGATATCAAAAGAAAATAAAACAAAGCAAGGCAGTTTGGGGACTCCATTAAAAATATCAAAGTGGTGGAAAATCACATATGGTTGGATGGTGGAGAATCATGGCCAAAGAGAGCCTTCAGAATTACTGATGTACAGTAGTACCATTATCAGAAGGAGAATCTAAGAAAAGGCATAAGAAGTAGGCCCCTGAGAGTATCTGTTCTCCTTCTGATATACTTTGTAAAGAGTTGATTGATGATCTGGGGATGCAAAGAGATCTACTCTGCAACCCAAAAGGTCTTGTGATCTGAGAGACTGTGAGCTCCTTTTACTGCATCTCAGCTACTCTGCTGTCCTCTTGCCACAGACAGTAGCCATATATATTCACCCAAGATCAAAAGCAAACTATTGTGGAGGCTGGCCAGCTTGTTGCCCTCTTATCTGTTGATGAAACCCTTCACAGTCAGGCTGTTAGTATGCATACATATCTGACAAGTCTGAGCACGTGTCTTCAGTAGAAAGCATGCTTTGTGAACATTTATATAGATCTCTTGAAATTGAAAACAAGCCGCCACCTATAAAGGACTTCAAAGAATACCTTTGGAGCTGAAATGAGATAGAGGATATTTCAGCTATCCCCTTAAACAGTGATGTGCTAGAACTGAGGATTTTAGATGTGCTCCTTGGCTAAGGCGCTATTCAAAATACTCTTAGGAAGTGTCACGAGGTGAAGAGAAAGCCAATTCTACTGCTGTCGTTCACACTCTGGGTATCTTAACCACAAGAGTATTTCTCAGTGTCCATTAGTAACAAAGCTTTAGAAGTCTGGTTACACCTAGTTCCAGATCCAGACCTTCTACCAGGAAAAGGAACATGATAGTCTGGCCTAAGTCAAGAGCAGCTAATTCACTGTTCACCGTCCCACATGACCCCAGAAAGGTGCAGTTTTGTTGTCTAAAGTAGACTATTTTCTAACTGTGTAGCTCTCAGAGGCAGGCATTTTAATGTATTACCTTGGGAAATTATCCATGAGACATGAAGAAAATTGTCTATGCTACAGCACAGACAATTTCCCTGAAAAGCCCACAAAGAATGCTTTATTCTCAGGTGCTCAGAGCCCTAAGGAAGAAGATGACAATAGCAAGGGTGGGGTGAAGAAAGCAGAGTAAGAGCAAGGTGGTGGAAGGGATGACAATGGCAGGAAGTTAAGTAGATGGTGGTATGATGGGAATAGCAACAATTTCCTTACCCCCTCAAGTAGCAGAAGGGCTTCAGCTGCCCTGAATGTACCATTCCTAGTGTCAACCTCACCCTATCTACTGCAGTTATTTAAGGAAGTTAGGTTGGAGTAAGAGACCCACAAGGGGGGGTCAGTTATGTTTTGTTACCCTACAACCTAGAGAACTTTAATATGAATGGTACTCCATTTGGATACTAGCAATAGAAAGAGTCTATATTGGAATGACTCCACTACTTCCTTGGGGCTCCAAGGAGAACTCCATATTGTAGAATGTATGAATGAATGAACTCAGAACTGAGGGAACCAGGAAAGGTAGCATGAAACACAGTAGTTTAAAAGAAACTGTTAAAAAAAGAAAGAATCCCAGCTGGTCATTTTGATGGAGGGGGCGGGCATTTAGGAAGCAATGTTCATCCCCATGAATCCAATCCAAGACTATGGAGTAAAGTACATCATGGAGAAGAAACTTTTGGAAACTATGAAATCCTGTTACTCGCCATCCTCTTCTCCCATCAGCAACATGGACAAATACTCTCCTATTCTATCTAGAAGTGAAGGAGAAGATGAAGAAAAAGAGATATAAAAACTATAAAGAGATCAATAAGGCAGCAAAATCAATGCGAGCTGCAGCGGGAAAAGGGACACTACCTATTCTGGTTACTTGTGCTAGATAGAAAACAAGTGGAAGTAAGAACCTCTCAGATTAATAGACCCATGCTTTACATTCTTTTCTCCAGTGTCTCAGGAATGGTAAATTTTGGCTTATAAAGTGCATCCCTGCTGGACTGCAGAGAAAAGAGAGGCACCCCTGTTGACCTGATAAATGAGGAGGCAGAAGAAGAAAATTAAGTTAGGAAGTTGTGCTTGAAAGCAAATTTACAAAGGTTTGTGTTCTGTAACAAGTGGGTTGGATAAGAGCTTTCTGTAGGTTGGATAAGGGCAAAAGCCTGATAGTTGGGGATGACTATTGCATACTTATGATTTCTCTCTGTTTTCTTACATTTTCCAGGAGCATCTGGCATAATCTTAGCACACACGATAGACACAGTAAAGCTGCAAAAATTATCCATACCTTTTTTGTGGAAACAATGCGCAGCACAGAGGCGTTGCAAACACCAAACTGGGGGGAAAAACAGACATGAAATTAAGATATTTGTGGCAACTGCTCTTGAATTGCAAGCTGGGTCATTTTATATAGTTGTGGATCATCTTGGGCTTCTTTCAAGCAATTTAATTATGCAGGCTACACATTACCCCAACCCCCAAGAAGCTGGATATTCAGTTTCCTACCCCAGAAGGATGAAAGACTGAGTAAATCTCAAGTCAGTTACCTGGGACTGAAACTGGCCAGTGAACAGAGTTTTGGATGCAGTTCTGCAGTTTAAGCGCTGCATCAGAAGGTTCCTAGTCATGATCCTTCCCATCTTGTTTGATCTGTCTGTGACTTACTAAATCAAAGTAAACTGTACACTTGTGATGCCTTGTTCCAGAAGCTGAAGATTTGCTTTTGTTTGCTTTACTCCTAGCAGTTGGTATCACGAAAGCTTATCACTCCACTTTCACTATCTTATTGGCCTTGGTCTTAGAGCAACTTGGATAGTCATATGACGACAGTGGTGACAAAAGTGACATCTGTCACAAAGGCAAACTTTGTAATAGCTAATTAAAAAATAAGTTATTATTTTTACTCACCAGAAGCCAACTAAGCCTACTTGAATGGGGGCGCTCATCCATGGGAACCTCTGTGTTAAGAAGAAATGATACATGGTGAAATGATATGCATCTTTGGAGCATGCATATGCAGCTCAGGTTGTTGGGTAGCAAAGTTTTTAAATGAAGATGGACACTGCATTATAAAGGCATTTGAGTGTTAGAGACTGTTTTCAGTACCGCAAACATTCCTAAATTAGAATCTACTCAAATAGTCTCCCCTAAGTCAACAAAGTTTCTAAGCAGCAGAATTAATTTCAAGTACAAGATAGGCTCATAATATCAACAAAGTAAATTTCCACAATAGCATAGTTAAGAGATGAAAACAATCCCTTCCTGTGGTTAAAAAAAATTCCATTGGAAGCACCAGTATATGACTAAAACAAGTATCTGCTGGGTGTATCTTTATAGATCTGCAGTGCAAATGAATGGATTAAAAAGAAAGTAAACATAGTCAATGATGAGCAATGATAGTGCTTTCAATATTATGTAACCCTAGGGTGAATTTGTTAAATAATGTTAAGGAGCATGCTACAAGGCATTCCAAAACATACACCCTTAAAAAGATACTGGAGCATCCAAAGAGCAAAGAGCATACAATTCAGACCCCTGCAAAAAGAACTTTCAAAACTTCAGCTCTGGCTTCTGGCTATTATGAGTTGTTATTAGTGTCCATAAAAAGTTATTCACATTTGGGGATATTAATCTTTTAAAAAATTACGCAGTGTTTCACTTTTACAAGTCTTTTTCACTCAGCAAACAAACTCAGAAAATCAGTATTGCAAAGGAGTATTTAAATTTTTTCGTGATAAGATTTCTAATTCAAACTAAGGACCAAGGCAATGAAACTGCCTTATTCTCTCTGCTACTAAAAGCAACAACCTTCAAAACAGGACTATAAGCAAAATGAAGGTTAAAACTAGAATAATTAATTACAGCGGATATGTGCTCTTCTGTTTTGCCCCCAGTAAAAGCATACTGTGAACTATATTTTCGAAGGCTTTCACGCTTGGGGTCTGATAGTTGTTGTAGGTTTTTCTGGATGTTTGGCTGTGTTATGGAGTTTTTCTTCCAGATATGTGCTCTTCTGTTTTGCCCCCTGTAAAAGCATACTGTGAACTGTATTTTCGAAGGCTTTCACGCTCGGGGTCTGATAGTTGTTGTAGGTTTTTCCGGCTGTTTGGCTGTGTTATGGAGTTTTTCTTCCTAATGTTTCGCAGTCTCTGTGGCCGGCATCCAGCCATAGAGACTGGGGAAACGTTACAAAGAAAAACCTCCAGAACATGGCCAAACAGGCTGAAAAACCTACAACAACCATACTGTGAACTGTTGGGAGCAAAATGGAGTGTTAGATGTACATAATGGGGGGAAATGAAAATAAGCAATGAATATGGATCTTAGACAAATTGTCTGTTTAGGTTAGAGATGAGATAAGGCAGCAGGAGGTAATACCAACATAATTTCCACAGAAATCTCTGGAAAGGAAAAAATGTAGATACTTCCCCTCTTTTTTTCTAGAGTAATCTAAGGACCAGAAGTGACAGGAAGAGACTAGTGATCTGTCAATGCAAAAAAAGAAAGCAAAAACAACAAAGAGAAAAGACATAAAAATCAGGTGGCTATCTTATACAGAAGAACATTGCTAAAATAAAATTAGTATCAGTTTTGAAGATCCTGATGTACACATGATTGAGAGCCTACCAAGTGTAGGTTTTCTAGCAGCAAGGACAATGAAGTATAGACCAATGAACCTATACCTGGAGGAACAGTATAGTGAAAATATTTGACCAGCATGTCAAATATTTGACTAGCATGTCAAATATTTCACAGCATGAAGAATGGTGGAAGTATAAACTGAACACCAGCATGTCAAATATTTCACAGCATGAAGAATGGTGGAAGTATAAACTGAATTGGAAGAGGGAGAGAGATGCAAGCTCAGAGGTAAAGATAGATGAAGTCTTAAGTACAACAGACTGAGCAGCTCTAATGAGGCCCAATAATAATCTTCATTAAAATCCACAAAGGAAAGCAGGCCACAAATCAGAGTCTACATACAAATGTCAGGAGTATGGAAAACAAACAAGAAGAACTCAAGATCTTAGTTTAGGAGGGAAATGTGACTTGTTAGGGATAACTGAAACTAGGTGGGATTACTCCCATAACTGGAGCAATAGAAGGATATAAATTCTTCAAAACAGAAAAAATGGAAGGGAAGGTAGAGTCATACTATATGAGAAAAATACACATTCCTGCACAGAAATATAAGAGGATGAGCTTGGTTGTCCCATTAAGAGCATCTGGATTAATATAACTGGGGCAAAAAAAAATTAAAAGGAGCATGCTAGCTGGAGTCAATTACTGTATTTTTCCATGTATAAGACTATACTTTTGTCTAAAATCTTTAGACTAAAAATTGAGGGTCGTCTTATTGAACTTGATTGTCCCATTAAGAGCATCTGGATTACTATAACTGGGGCAAAAAAAAAAAAAATTAAAAAAAATTAAAAGGAGTGTGCTAGCTGGAGCCTAGTACTGACCGCCCATTCAAGGAGAAGAGACAAATGAAATCTTTGAAAAACAAAAGGCAAGAATGTAGTAGTAATGAGAGATTTCAATTATCATGATATCTGTTGTGAGGCAAATTCTGCCAAATATCAAGCTCAGTCCTGAGCCTCTTGGGTGAAAAAATCTTAAGAGGTTGGTTTCTTTACAGCACAAGCCTATGAACATTTACACAGAACTACAGTATTCTGTGTTCAGTGGTGCATACTAGGTGTGACCTGTGTACGGGATTCTAGTCTCAGAATTGGAATTCATATGTTGAATGTTCTTCAGCTCGTGGCTTGCACATAGAGGGATCTTCAATAAACTCTAAACATGTCACACATTTTATTTGTTGGGCCAGGATCTTCCTCACCTACTCCAGTAGTGCAAGTTTGAGTGTAAAGTGGTCGGCCTCTTTCAAAGCTTGTGAAAGGAGACGTTCTGGACCCCTTGCACAGATATAAGCCTCACTGATTGCACTAGGCACAAGTTTTCAGATTGCACAGTGGCAAGCTTGAGATCGTGGGAGCTCCACAGGTGCACTGTTATACCATACCTGCAATGATCAGGATTCTGGCCAAGATTTGTATTGTCTCCTGTCTCACAGCAGTCCACATAATCAAACAAAATTGATCACTAAGGTATTATATGTGCCACAGGCAGGGAAGTCCTGGGAGTAATTCCTTCATTTATGATTCTCTCCCAAAGTAAGAAGAAAATGCTATTAATTATAAAGAAACAAGGAAATGACCTTGCTGCCAGTCCTTGCTTTCCATTCAGCACATTACAGCTAACACTCATTGCTAAAACACTGAAAGGTCAGGTATGCAATGATGCAGTACTTAACCTCTCCTGACGTTGAACAGATATCGGAACTCCAGCCAGCTGGGACTACGCTGTTCTCTTAGTTACGTATTGCACCACTGCAGTTTATGATCAACCAAGCTCCTCTGTGATGCCAATCATGCAAGACAGGCCCATATAGGCCTAGAGATATTTTCCCCCCTTTCCCCTCTCTTTTGGTGCTTTGCTTATATATTCCCTTTTTTTGCAGTTAATTCATTGCTAGAATTGTATCCCGTTTTTCAACAAGTTATATCCACTGTTGCATCCTATTGGTTGGGACTGTTTAACAGAACTTTTACATGCTCTATGCTGCCGTGACAGACTTTCTTTGGAACCAAATAGTCAAACAAAAGTACTAATGTTACATCAGTATACAGGTTGTTGTTTCACAGCACAGGCGAAACAATACTGATATTATACATTTGTTAAGAATGCCATAAAAATGCATTTCTGTAAAATGGCATGAATGATTTGTGTTGTACTTGGAGAACAGAAATACAGAAAAGCCAAGAGTCAGTGTATCTGATGCAAGAAAAAAAAGCACGTGCATACACAAGCAGTGTAAGTGCACAATGTAATTTAGTTGTCAAGACCACTGCTATTAAACTAGGAAGAAGGCATTCCTGAACAAATTAAAAGCTATTATTTTCCATGGTTTCTGTGGAAACCTTATTTCAATTACACATAAAACTGTCAAATTCATAATAGAGGGGGAAAGGCCATGATGGCAGCCACCAGCTTAACCAAGCAATTTGTTACAACAAAATGCTGGAGGCCCGATGGGGATGGGGTGGGTGCCACATCCTATAAATCAGCCATGCTCAATACCTGGTCCTGCAGCACATCTAGAGGCTTGTCTGACTTTTCTATAACTCCTTAGCTGGCACATCTTATTGTAGGACTGCACCCAAACACTGCCTTCCTCACATGTCCGCTTTTGTCCCATCCAGGTTGCTTCTGATCTATAGCAACACTATGAATGGTCCTATCATTAAAAGTCCTACTCAGGTCTTGTACATGGAAGGCTATGGTTTTCTTTACTGAGCCAATCCATCTCATGTTCAGTCCTCCTCTTCACCTTCTGCCTTTCATATTACTGTCTTTTCCAGCAAGTCTTCTCATGATATGCCCAAAGTACAGTATCATTGTTTCAATTTAATCATTTTTGGCTTTAGCCAGAATTCAGGCTTAATTTGATCCAGTGCCCACTCATGTCTTTCTGGCAGCCCATGCTATCTGTGAAGCCTTCCTCCAATATCACATTTTGAATGAATCAGTTTTTCCCCTCTCAGCTTTCCTCTCTGTCCAGCTTTCTGTATATAATAAGAGGGGATACCACAGCGTGACACATCCTCACTTGTAAGGCTATCTTCTAGTTCCTTCAGAATTGCCCTTTGAAGTTTCAGTCTTTTTCTGATCTTTAAGCTGCAATCACCCACTTCTATTGATGACAGAGCTGAGGAACAGAAAATCTTCAAAAACTTTGATTTCTTGATTGTTAACATTAAAGCTGTGGCTTTTGTTTTTGTTTTGTTTTCTTAATGTTCAACGATAACCCTTTTTCTGTACTTTCTTTTTCAACCTGCTCAGCAGTTGTTTCAAGTGACTGTTTCTCTTACATGCATAACTTAATGTGAAA